AATTCAAAAGGATATATTTATAAATTTTAAATTTATTTCCCTCTTTTTTTTCTCTCACAATCAATTAATTTACACTTTATGATAGTAATTTGATGCATGAACAATCGAATTTCTATTTACGATCATTTTCGATCATTTTTGATCAATCGATCATTTTCGATCATTTATGATCAATCGATCATAAATTGCATTCTATTTTATGGGATATTTGTCCAGCGGGTTATTTCTTTAAATTAATTAATATTTTAATAAATGTATAAAAGAAAATGAAAATTTCACTGACTAAAATATTAGCGAATGATTAGAGATTATAGAAATTTGTTATTAAATATTGAAATTAAAATATAAAAAAAGTGTAAAAATTCAACAACAAAAAAAAAATTAATAATACGAAATAAAATAAAACTTTAGTGAATATAATTAATCGTATAATTAATATAAAATATTAATATAATTAATAACAATATATGATGAATATAAAATATTAATGTAATTAATATATTAATTTAATTAATGACATATAATATATTACTATTATTAATAGAAAAACTATAAAACGCAGAGTTATTATTAAGAAATAAAATTTTACACAATTTTATGATAAATATGAAAAAAATGAAACAAGAAATTTTGTTTATATTTAAAATATACTAATAAATATTTATATTTGAGATAAATATTAGAATTAAACATTTTAAAAGAATTTTATTAAATAAAATTTATGCAAGAGCAAAAGGCTTAAAAATTCAAAAATTATATTTTATTTTTTTTCCAAATATTTTTTTTTTTTTTATTTTTGCATATTTTGTTTTTTCTTTAATTTTTAGTAATATTGCACAAATATTTTAATATTTATGCATAATATTGATCATAAAATTAAAAAAAAAAAAAGTTAATGCAAAATTTTTTTATTGCCATTTTTCATTTTTTTTTTCTTTTTTACTATTTAAAATTGAATTGCTGCAAGAATTATGGGAAATATTTGAAATGCAAGTAGAAATTATTTGCAATTTGTAAAATTTTTTGTAACTTTTTTATGTCAAAAAATGAAAAAATAAAAAAATAAAAATAAATTTTAGCGCAACTGAAATGCAAAAAAAAAAAAGGAAAGAAAGTGAATTTCTTCAAGTTTATATAAATTTAAACAAAATTTAATAATTCATTCAGCGTTTATTTGAATATTTCATGTTTCTTTCATTTCAAAAAATAAATGTGACAGTTTGAAAAAGAAAAAAGAGACACAAACAAAAATTTCTGTTCGTTTTTTCTTTTTTTTTTTTTTTGGATTAAAATTTAAAATTTAAAAGAAATGAAAAAAAAATTCCTTATAAAATTTGTAAAAAATTTTTTGCATTTTATCAAATTAAAATATTTTAAAAATAAAGGAAAAAACAAAAAAAAATTTCAAAAAAAAAATTTTTTTTCCTTTTTTGTTTGATTTATTAAAGGGTAGAAAGAGGGAGAAAAAAAGAGTAATGGGAAAAGAGAGAGGAAGAGAAAAAGGGGAGAGAGAGAGGGGAAGAGAGAGAAAGTAAAGGAAAGAGGAAGAAATTAAATAGAAAATAAATAAATAAAGGAAAATTTAAAATTGTTTGTTGCGCAATTATCGTAATTAAAGAATATTTTAAAAAATTTTTTCTTTCTCTAAAACTGAATAAAAAAAGAAAAATAAATTTAAAATTTCATTTTGCGTATTTTTTTGCATGAGCTTTTTATTATTATTAATTTAAACATCTTTTAAACGTTCATTAATACTTCAGTAAATTCTTTTAAATAAAAATAAAAATGAAAATATTTAGATGTCAATTCAGTACTGAACATATTCAGCAAACACTTGATACTTAATAAAATTAAAAACTTTAATATATTTATAAATTAATACATTATTAAAAAAATACTTAGTGGAAATAATATAATAAAATAAAATAAAATATAATATGATGTATTTATACTATACATAATTCATTGATATAAAATATATTATTTTCTCCTATTATTTATTATTACTATTGTATCATTATTATTGCTTATCATATTATTTTATTTATTATTATTAATATAATATTAAGATTTGTATGATGTTCTTGCATTAATAATTTTCGTTCTAACTGAAATTTAAATTAAAATTTAAATAATTGAGTTGTAATTACGCGAATATCGATTTTAGATAAATAAAGGAAGAAAAAAAAGTAAATAAATAGGCCACAAAGTTTTTTAACCTTTGTATTCAACAATGCTATCTGTTCGTTTTCATTCCTAAATTTCTAATTAAATGAAATTAAATTTTTGATCGAAGAAGCGATTAGAAAATACTTTGAATATTTCGATTATTTCTCATTCTTATCATCTAACACATCAATTGAAAATATTTATTGAATAAATATTGCAAAATATTATTCACTCACATATATTTGATCGAAATACACAAAAATATGTATTTCGATCAAAAGTTTTTTAAGTTTTAAAGTTCTGAATTTAGAAGTGTCCTAGGAGAAGTGAAACAGAAAGAAGAGGAATTAAATGAATTTGTTGAATAAATTAATTTTTTCTTTATATTCAATTAATTATTAATTAAATCAATTCTATTCTCTTTTTACATTCAATGAAAAGTCGAGAAAAATACATCGGAATTTTGCACTTACTTAAATTAATTTTCTTTCTTTTTCACTTTTCCACAATTTTTTTTCTCCTTTAAAGAAATAAAAGTATTAAAAAAAAGAAAAAAAAAAAGGAATTTTGCAAAAGAATGAAATTCTGAAAAAGAGAAAAGAAATGGAAAACTAAAAGGAAAAAATAGAAATACTATCAATTTTTACTTATTTTCTTTTTTATTCCAATTTTTCATTCAAATTCACAGTTATTATTTTTGAATGATATTTTCTTATTCTGAAATGGATAACTTCAATTTGAAAATTTTGAGGAAAACTTGACATAAATATTTAATTTCTCATCTTTTTCCATCTTTTTCTTCTTTTCTTCCTTGCTTGCCCCTCCTCTTATTTTGAGTATACAATTTAAAATTTGCATTTTTTAACATCCTAAATTTTGGTTTTTTAGCTCTTCATGGATTGATTTAAAATAAGCCAACAATTTATTATCATGATTTCTTGATTTTAATATCACGATTTGTTTATTATTATTATTATTATTATTATTATTGTGATTACTGTTACGTTATTTTTAAATCATAGATTTCTTTCTAAAACTTAGAAAACGAAGCATTAGGTCAGTAGAAGAATTTATAAAATTGTTATTATTAATGCTTGATTTGTTATTTTTTTTTTTTATAATTATTATCAATTATCGTTGTTGATTATCATCGTCATCATTATTATTATTACTAGTATTGGTATTGCTATACCCATTATTGTCATTGTTATTATTATTATTATTTATTATGATAGCACCATTAATTATTCTCGATAATAACAATTCTTAATCATAATTATAATATTATCATTAATTATTTTTCTTAATCATAACTATTCTTAATCAATCACATTTATTATAATATTATCATTAAGTATTAATATTATTATTATTTAATGTTATCATTAATGTTATTTTATTACCTCTATTATTATAATTTATTTTTATCATTACTATTATTTTACTATTATTATTGTTATTATTACGACTATTATTATCATTACTATTGAATTTTAAACAATTCCTGTAACAAAATCAAAAAAAAAGGAAAGAAAAAAAAATGGAAAATAGAAATGGAACGGAAACAGTTGCATTAGCAAATATTAAGTTAGGAATTTATGGGAAACTTTTTCAATGCATAAAATTTTACATCAAATATTGCTAACTCATCCATATATTCCATTTTATCCATTCACTTCTTACTATTTCACTCTCTCTCTGTCTTTTTTTTTGCATTTCTATTTGTTAAAAATTTAATCTGAAATTACAGAATTGAAATTGCAATTAAAATATAATTAGTATTATTTATTATTTCTATTTTTTTGTTTATTTTTACCTTTTTTTTTTGCTTAAATATTATTACATTTCTTTATTTTTTTTCAACTTCAAATAAAATAAAATCAAATTGGAATTTATTAACATATTTTTTTTTTTTGTAATTTATAGAAAAAAATTCATTTTTTGAAATTGATAAATGTTATCATTCATTTTCAATTATCTTTTTTATTTTGAAAATTATCATAAATTTATTAATTATCATTTTTATTTTGCTACTTTCATTCATCTTTTTACAATTATTTATATAGAAAATGCAATAAATGAAAAGTACTTCGTTAGTTAGATAAATTTTAGATAAATTTAATCGAAATAATGAAAAAAAAAAAAAAAAAAAAAGGAAAGAGTAAAGCAATCAAGAAAAAGAAGGAAGAAAATTTGTTGAAAAGAAAGAGCTAATGAAAAATTCATTTTACTTGTTGATTCATCCTTTTCATCAATTGTTAAAATAATATGAAATTATTCATACTTCTTCTTTCTTCATTTCTCTCTCCCTCTCCCTCTCTCTCTTACCTTTCATTTATTTTTTTTTTTTTTTTTAATCAAATTTTATGATTAATAATGTTTAATTATTATTTTAATAAAATTTATTAAATGAATGTAGTGCTATAATTTTAATTCTTTTTTTTTTTTAAATTTAATATTTTATCTTTTTATTTGCGTTTTTTTTTTTTAAATAAAAATGTTTTTCCTTGAGTTGATAATAGGAATAAGTAGCGATAATTTGATGAATTTGCTGAATTTTTCATTTTCTGTTTTTCTTTTTTTTTTTTATTTTATTGATGAAAAACAAAAAAAACAAAAACGCGCGTTACTTTATTAATTCGATTGAATTTAATCAAATGCACAATTTTTGTTATAAAAATTTGCATTCTATTATTTTAGGTCAAAAAAAAAAAAAAAAATTCAAATGTTTTTTCTAAATTAAAACAATTTGGTGTAAATAATCGATCGACACAAGAAAATAGATCTAACATATATTTTGTATACATATATACACATAAACATATATTTGTATGGGTAAGAATTATTAATTAATATAAAGTAAAAAAAAAGAAAATTGAAAAACTAAAAAAAAAAAAACTAAAATTGAAAATGACAAAAAATTTATTTACTTTCTTTATCAACATTTCAAGTTGATTTCTTCTTTTCTTTATAATTCCAACTTTTTTCTTTTGCTTTTAAGAAAAATAAATTAATTAAATTTTTTTCATATTCAGTTTTATTTGATTTAAAATTGAAATGAATTTAATTTCAGATAAGTGCTGTAAATGTGGTGGAAGTATCACAAATGAACAACCAGGTTGTACAGCAATTGGTGAAATGTTTCATACAAAATGTTTCACATGCAAGGAATGTGATAAACAACTTGCTGGTGGCTCATTTTATAATGTCGACGGTTGTCCACTTTGTGAGGATGATTATATGGTAAGTAAGTAAGATCACATGGTAGTGAGGAAGTAAGTAAATAAAATTGTGTGATAAGTGAAGGTTAAGTAAGATTTTATGGTAGCGGAAGTAAATAACTGTGATTATATGGTGAGTGAAAGTAAGTAAGTAAGACTATGTAATAAATAAAAGTAATATACGATAAGTAAAAGCAAGTAAATAAGATTAAATGGTAGTGAGAGTAAGTAAAGTAAGACTATATGGAAGTAAGAATAAATAAAGCAAGGCTATATAATAGGTGAAAGTAAGTAATGTAAATAAGTAAGTAAGATTATATGATAAGTGAGTGTAAGTAAGTAAAATTATATGATAACTAGGTGGAAGTAAGTAAGTAAGATTATGTGATATGTGAGTGAAAGTAAAAATAAAAGACGAAAAAACGATTATTTTAAATTCTAACTTTTAAAATTACTTCGAATTTAATATTTATTAAAAATTTAATGTCTTTAATTCATTTATAAATAATAACGAATTCTTTCTCTTACATTTTTTTCTATTTTCATTTAATTCTCAAAAAATTTTACTAATTAATTAACATTTTAATATTTGTTAAATTCTGTGTTTTAATCATTTAAAAAAAAGAGAATTCTCCAATTTGATTATTTTATTATTAAATTGTTTTATTTCCAAATTTATTGTTTTTTTTTTAATTAATCAAATTCATATAATAAATTTATTATATATTATGCATTAAATTGTATGAAATTTATTATTTAATTATATTATTTCGTGCAATGTAACATGAATTCATTAAATATTCCTATTAAATTTATTAAATTCAATTTGATAAAAATTATATTTTATATGTTAAAATTATTAATAATAAAATTCTAAAATAATTATTTGTTACTTATTAAATTAACCTAAAATTTTTAATTGGAAGAAAAAGAAAAAGGAATTTTGCATTAATTATTATTACATTTCTTAAATTATTTTTTAATTTATTTCCTTTTTTTTTGCGAAAGTATTTGTGTTTTTGTTTTTTTGGAACAAATTAATTTCGATTTAATTATATAATTTAGTAAAATAATTATAATCAATTTCGACATAAATTCAATTCATTTAATTCTCGATAAATTGTTTATATAAATTACATAAATAATTCGGAGAATTTATAATTTTGTAAGGAAAAAGAAAAAAAGCTAATAACAAAGTAAAAAAATTCAAATTCTTTTGAAAATAAATTTTTATTTATGTTTGTTTATCATTTTTTTTTTTAAATCAAAATTTATAATTTTTAAAATTTATGCAAAAAAAAAAATTGAAAATAGTAAATGAAATGAAAGCATAATTACCAGTGAAAATATTCTTTTAATTAATAAAATTTTTTTGCAGAAATCATTAGAGAAATGTAACAGTTGCGGTAAACCAATTACGGAAAAGTTGTTACGTGCAACCGGAGGTGCATATCATCCGGATTGCTTTGTTTGCACCGTTTGCAAAAAATGCTTAGATGGAGTTCCATTTACCGTTGATTCAACTAATAAAGTACATTGTGTCGTATGTTTCCATGAGTAAGTTTAAGTTATTGCTATTATTAATAAAATTGTTTTAAATTTAAAAATTAAAAATTAAATTTTATTTTTAAAATTAAAAATGAAAACAAAAAATGTTTATTATAATTTAATTATTATTATTATTCTTATTATTATTTCTGTTAACCCAAATAATTGTTACATTTTTTGTGAGTTTTCCAATTATTTTTTTTTCTTGGATTAAATTAAAAAAAAATGAAAAAATTTTTATATTTGAAAAAAACTTTATTATATTTATTGATTTATTAAAAAAAAAAAACAAATAAAAATGGTTAATTTGTTATAAAATTTTTATTCAGAGTTTTATTTAAGAGTAAATCGAATAAAAGTATAAGTTTTTACTTTGGAATTCTTTTTTTTTTTATAATGGAAATATTATTGTTTAAATAAACTTTTGTTAATTTTTAATTGTTTGTTTGGATAATTTATTAAACAAATAAATAAACATTTAAATGAAACAACAACTTAAATAAACAAATATTGGATAATTTAATTCGCATTGGTAAATTTGAATAAACAAAATTGTAAGTAAGCAATAGTTATATATACTCGAACGTACTACTTTATATAGGATATTTACTTTACTTATTTACTTTACTCTTACTTTATACATTTTAAATACTTTGTATGAATAAACAAGTAATTAGTTGCACACACTTTATGAATATTTTATGTAAAATACTTACTTTACTTTGTTTTTATATTTTTTACTTTATTTTATATGAAAAAATCTAACTGAATATACACAAATTATATACTTAAATAGTAAGTAACTGATATTGTAAAATATTATTTCACTTAATTTTGCATATTTAAATAATTTATCGATTGTTAGCAAAAAGTTAACAATAATTATTAAAAGTATATTACATAAAAGTAATAAGGTAAAATACCTGTTTATAAAATATTTTTTCTTTTTTTTTTCCATTTTTCTTTTCTCTAAAAATTTTTGATTTATTTTATAAAAATGAAATGAATTCTGAAGGGAATATAATATTATTGAAGAAAATGGATGAAAAAGAAAATTTTTATTTCTTATTTTAACATATTTCTTTTTTTTTTTCTGTAAAATAGAAACAAAACATTGAATTGGATAGAAAATTATCATTTTGAGAATTTTTAATTTTTCATTCTTTTTTTTTTTTTTTTTTTTTTTTAAAATCTAAATATATTATAAAGAAAAGTTTTTGGTTAAAATAAATTTCTCAAAAAAATACATTTTTCATTTTCTATTTAGTAACATTTTTTTTTTTTTTTTTTTTTTTTTTTTTTTTTTTTTTTTTTTTTAAAAAAAAAAAATTTTTTTTTTTTTTAAATTTAAATGTTATTTAGCATAGTTTTAAATTCAGTTTGTTTTTTACGTAAAAAATATTTTATTAATTTGAATTTTCTTTTAAATTTAAATGTTATTTAGCATAGTTTTAAATTCGGTTTGTTTTTTACGTAAAAAATATTTTATTAATTTGAATTTTCTTTTAAATTTAAATGTTATTTAGCATAGTTTTAAATTCAGTTTGTTTTTTACGTAAAAAATATTTTACTAATTTGAATTTTGTTTTTTCAGAAAATTTGCTCCTCGATGTGCGGTATGCTCGAAACCAATTATACCTGAGGAAGGTCAAGAAGAATCGGTACGAGTTGTTGCGATGGATAAAAGTTTTCATGTTAATTGTTATCGATGCGAAGATTGTAACATGCAATTAAGTTCAAAAATTGAAGGACAAGGGTAAATTATTTTTAAATTTTTTTTAAAAAAAAAAAATTGAATTAAAAAATTTGAATATTAAATATATAAGCAAGGAAATTGTAGAAATGATAATCTTAAAAATTTTAAAAGCTTTTCAAATTTTTTTTTTTTTAATTATATATAATAATCTTAAAAAAAAGTATTTGGATGATAAAAATTTGTAATTAAAATATTTAATTTAAATATTAATATTTTCAAATAATTGTTTGCACTTACATTTCTACTACTAATTTATAAGCAAAAAAGAAGTGCAAAAATGTTAGATTATATAATTTTTTTAGTAGAAAAAAGAAAAATATGAAAAAACATGCAATTGAAATAAAAAGTATGATTATACTTGTAATTATTAATTATACTATAATTATTTTATACAATTAATTGTTCACTTATACTTCCTAAAATCAAATTTGCATGCAACCTGCAGACTTGCATTTTTACTTAATTAACTTGCATTAATAAAGAAAAAAAAAAAAGAATGCAAAATATGGAAATATATTAACTTAAATAATTTTGCTTTTTGTACTCAATAAAAAATGATCGTTAATATTTGGAAAAGAAAAGTGAAATTATACAAACAATAAATGATTTCTATTTTTTTATTTTGAATGTTTTTTTTTTTAAATACGCACTAAAAAAAATGCTATATAAAATAATTTTTTTTTTTTTTTTTATTTAAATTAATTTGACAGAAGAGGAAAAATTAAGAAATAAACATTTTTTTTCAAAAAAAAAATTAGAATATATAATAATAAATAATAATTATAATTATAGGTGTTATCCATTGGATCAACATTTGTACTGCAAAAATTGCAATGGTAAACGATTGGTTGCATTATCAAAAGCAACTTAAAAAGGAAAGAAATAAATATACGATGAAGCAAAAGAAAAAAAAAAAACAAGCAAAAATTGTATTTTTCATATTTCATTCATAAAAAAGGCTTATTAATTAATTAATTAATTAATGATTTTATTTCTTAACAAAAGAAAACAAATACTTATCATTTGCTAATTAATATAATTTATATGTTATCATATTATTAATTAATCCACAATATATATCATTTATTATTAATTAATAAATGCCTTTTTCAGCAAAAATGTTAGATTATATAATTTTTTTAGTAGAAAAAAGAAAAATATGAAAAAAGCATGCAATTGAAAATAAAAAGTATGATTATACTTGTAATTATTAATTATACTATAATTATTTTATACAATTAATTGTTCACTTATACTTCCTAAAATCAAATTTGCATGCAACCTGCAGACTTGCATTTTTACTTAATTAACTTGCATTAATAAAGAAAAAAAAAAAGAATGCAAAATATGGAAAATATATTAACTTAAATAATTTTGCTTTTTGTACTCAATAAAAAATGATCGTTAATATTTGGAAAAGAAAAGTGAAATTATACAAACAATAAATGATTTCTATTTTTTTTATTTTGAATGTTTTTTTTTTTAAATAAATCGCACTAAAAAAAAATGCTATATAAAGAATAATTTTTTTTTTTTTTTTTATTATTTAAATTAATTTTGACAGAAGAGGAAAAGTGAGAATAAACATTTTCCAAAAAATGAATAAAACATTTTTTTTCAAAGAAAAAAAATTAGAATAATAAAATAAAATAAATAATAATTACTAATTATAGATGCTATCCATTGGATCAACATTTGTACTGCAAAAATTGCAATGGTAAACGATTGGTTGCATTATCAAAAGCAACTTAAAAAAGAAAGAAATAATCGAAAGATGAAATAATTTGGATCACAAAATTTATTCAAATATACGATGAAGCAAAAGAAAAAAAAAGCAAACAAAAATTGTATTTTTCATGTTTCATTCATAAAAAAGGCTTATTAATTAATTAATTAATTAATGAATTTATTTCTTAACAAAAGAAAGCAAATACTTATCATTTGCTAATTAATATAATTTATATGTTATCATATTATTAATTAATCCACAAATATATTATCATTTATTATTAATTAATAAATGCCTTTTTTCATTTTTGATGTTTCATTAAAAAAAAAAAAAAAAAAAAGAAATTGCTCTGCTGCTACTGCTTAATTTATCTACTGCTAATTAATTAATTGTCAATTTATTCATTGAACTTTTTTTTTTTCACTTTTTTAAAATATTACTAATTATTTTTTTGCGATATTTTTGTTCAATCATTGCTATAAAGTATAATTTTATTTTTGAGTAAAAATTCGAATAAAAGATTTAAATTCAAAGAAAAAGGAAATTTAAAAAAAAATATATTTTTCTTTCCTGATGCAAAAACAAAAAAAATAAAAAAAAAGAGCAAAAAATATTGATGGCAATTGCTGATATGTTTAAAAGTGGAAAAAAAATAATTAATATGATCAAAATTTGAAATTACTTATTTTATTCAATTATTGAATTAATTAATTGAATTAATTAACAATCGAAAATGATAAGAAAAAAGAAAAGGGTAAAAATTTTTTAAAAAAAAAATATCAAAAAAAAAAAGAAATTAATTTTATTTATTAATGTATTAATTACTAATGCTTTCCTTTTTCTTTTTTTCTGCTATAATATTGAAATGAACTGACCGTTCAGTATTGTGTGTTTTCAGCAATTATTACAAATTAATTTTTGTATTTCTTTTCCAATTTCATTATTCGAAATAATTATTGAATAATTTTTGTTCTATACTTCTTTTTTTTTTAAGATAAAATAAAAATTTACGAAGTTTGAAAGCATTTATTTATTGATTTCTGGGAATAAAAACTATTTGTCGTGTATATCAAAGCAGTTAAACATTTATTTGATCATTTAATTGAATTTTATTCTATCTTCTACTGATTACTTATCATAAAAATAGTACTTAATGACGATTTACGAAAAAAAATTTTAAATTTGGATAAGTAACATTATCATATATTATGCATTTAAAATTATCATACTGTAATTACAGTTAATCACTTAATTCTTACCGTAATAGACTCACTCATAATCCCTTAAATTAATTTCACTGAGCAAAGAAAAAATAAATTTAATGGATGCGTATCATACTGTAGATTGGTTTACTGTAATTACAGTTGTTCATTTACTTCTTACTGTAGCACATTCATATGAATTGCTTAAATTAAATTTACTAAACAAAAAATAAAAGAACTGCTGAATAGTGAAAGGTTGTAGAAGGAATTTCGAAAAATAATTGAATCAAGTTAAACATATCGAAATAACAATGCAATATGGCTAAACACTGATTTTCAAGAAATGACTGATTAGATGTATATAAATTAAAAAGTAAAAGAATAAAGTAATTATCAGTTAACAAATGTTATTATTAAAAATTGTACTTTCTTTTAATGCATTAACTTTTTTTAGATTTTCAATTTTTTATGCCTTCCATGAATTTATATCGGATCATCTTATCCGAGAAAGCAAATCAAATTATTAAAATCAGATCATTATTGTATGATGCAAATTAAATTGTTCATAATGCAAGCAGATCAAACAATCACATGGGAATATTGGTGCATAAATTAGATAGCTCATGGATTTAAAATCAAATCAAATACTTTATAACCAGGTCAATTTATTCATGATCACATCAGGAATTAGTTTATTTATTAAATTAAATGATCACATCAGAAATTAATGCATTCATTATTAAATCAAATTATTTATCAAATTTATGATCACATTGTCTTTTATCAATTTTATTCATTTATAACCATCGTATAAGATAAAAAAAATATCAAGCAATGTCAAATTACAGTCAAGCATAATGTGACAAAAGTTTGGAAATGAAATTTGACAGGAAAAAGAAAAATTCAATACCGCTCTGTTAGTATTGAAAAAAATAGAATGATAATGAGTAGTTGTCGTGAAAGTTTTAAAGATTTAAATTATTATTTTTGGGAGAGGTTGTTGATTTCGGGGAGATTTATTGGATGAGGTGTAAATGTATGAGATAACAGAGGAATACAATAACTCCTTTATTAGCAGAGACAATAATACAATAACTTGATAAAAACAAATCAAAATCCTACTATCTTCATTCTCAGTTCATACAAACAATGCTCCTCTTTTCTTGGTCAAAAGAAAACAATGGTGTCTTATTGGTGAAGCAAAACAATGGCGTCTTATTGGAGGCACAAAACAATAGCGCCTTTTTGGTGATTTCCTTATGTAGCAAGCAATGAGTAAACAAAATATGAAGTAAACAAAAAAAAAGAGGATAGGTTAAATCTACCGAAAGAGTAATCGGCGTAAACATAAGATTTGAAACATAAAATTCAAAGTATAGACATTATTTGCAAAATTTCATATAACATATTTTCAACTCTATAAACATATAGTAATTTAAAGTTTTGCGATATAAAATTTGTGACAGTAGAAAAAAGAAATATTAATGAATATATTTGTTAAAATTATAGATCATAGATGTTTTATGCTCCTAAAGAAACGAAAAGCAAAAAAAAAAAAAGGAGAGAAAGTTTTGCCTGAGGTTGATATATAAGAAATTATCATTATTATCATTGGGCATTATCGTTATCAGTAATTTTTACCTTAGATATTGCATTCAATTTCAACAACGATAATTGTAAACATTTACAACTGCAAAATTTAGGCAAATAAATCACAATTCATTATAACTGCAATAACAATAGAACAGTTATTTTACTTTAATTAAAATATTTTAAATTTATTTACCAATCATTTGCTTAGTGAATTTTAAATTCTTATTTGATAAGGTAGATTGTAAAAAGAGCAAAGTAAGCGAAACCATAGTTTATAAATAAACATAATTTACAATAATCGTTATAATTGATGTAACCAACATAACGACAACATATTTATTTAGTTTTATTCGAAATGTTCATAATTTATTTGCCAAGCATTTTCCTAGCAGATAAGCTTTTTTTTCTTGGCTAAAAATAATTTGTAAGAATAAAATAAGTGAAGTAATAATTTATATATGAACATAATTCATAATAATCGTTATAAATAACTGATATAACAGAAATAAAATTATTATGAACTAATTAAAGCATTTAGAATTTATTTACCAATGATTTTACTTGGTAAATAAGTTTCATATTTGACAAAGCAATAAAATAAAGTGTAACAAAATACAAAGATTATGATTTATATGCAAATTGTAATTTATAACAATCGTAATTAACTGATATATAGCAATATATTTATTCGGCTTCCTTTCAAAATTTTAAATTTATTTAGCTTCTTTTTACATGTTCCATTTATTTTTAAAATTAAACAATTTTAAATTAATTCTTATTTATCTTTTTTTTTTTTTTGTTGTTGTTGTTGTCCCTACTATATCTAATCTCAGTTTTAATTAACTGAGTATATATTTGTATCTGATAACAATAGTTTTTAATCGTTGTGATAACTGATAGTGATAATTAAGTGATCGTTGATATTTGCTTCCAATTATCATATTTCGCCTCTTCCTTTTATCTTTTCTTATCTTTTTTTTTTTTTTTTTTTTCATTCTGATAAAAATTCCATATGGCTTTGTGAGTTTTAAAACATTGATGAAAAATTGAAGAAAGAACAGTTTTTCATTTGAAAATGGAAAAAGGATTTTCTTCTTTCAATCAAAAGCCAAGCATAAAAATGTTAAATCATAGATTTATTTCAATAACAATCTCAATAAAAGCCATACAATACTATGCCATAAATTGATTTCAATAAAGAGCCAAGTATAAAAGCCTAAACTATATCTTATAGTCAAAGGCATTTTTCTATTTGACATTTCCTTTTCTTTTTAAAGGTTCGTTTAAATTTTAATGACTAAATCAGGCCAAAAAAAAACATTTCCCTCTCTCTCTTTGACAGATATGTGAAAATGTGATATATTGTAGTGCTTGCAATAAATATATTTTCAGCCTAACTAGGCTCTTTTTTCCCTCTCCAAGAAATTCTCTTAACACACACTTCGGCCTTGCTAAAGCCTAGCACATTTGTTCTCCTCTAAAGCCTAGCAGATTTGTCCTCCGCTATAGCCTAGCACATATGTGCTCCGCTAAAGCCTAGCCTAGCTTATCCATCCGTCCATTTAGCTAACCAACTAACCAACCAACTAAACCAGCCAACCAAGCAACCAACAAACCAACCAACCAACCAGCCAAGCAACCAAGCAACCAGCCAATAATTCCTTCCCTCCTCTCAATCCTATCAATAAAGTTCCCTCTATTCCTTTCCTTCCTCCCTCTCTCTCTCCCCTCTCTTTTTCTTTTCTTTCCTTTTCCTTTTTTCCATCAATAAATTTCCATTTCAATTCATTTTGCAAATTGCGTCATATTTTCTACATTACTTTTGCCATTTCTCCCTTTTTTTTTCTTCAATGAAAATTTTTGCTTTTTTATACTCTTTTTTCTCTTTCTCTCTCTCTTTCCAATTTTCTATTTTTCTCTCTTTTTTCTCATTTTTTTCTTCCTATTTATGTAAATAAATTTCTTTTCTGTATTTTCCTCTTTCTTTTCCCCCTCTCTCCCACTCTCTTTCTTTCTTTCTGTCTCAATTTTTTGAGATATTTCATTTTAACTAACAAAGATTGCTTCTTCTTTCTTTTTTTTTTTTTTTTTTTGTGAATTTCAAAATTAAATGTTTTATCGTTTATTTTGCTTTTCTTCTTTTCTACCATTTTTTTTTAAACTCTCTTTCTTTCATTTTTCTTTGAAATTTTGCATTCAGTATAATTTCTTAATTCTTAATATTATTTTATTTAATTATTATTTTCTAAAATATATTTCAATAATTTATAAAAATCCTTTTTCTTATTTTCAATATTTTAATATTCTTTGATTAATTAGTTAGTATTAAATTATGGAAATTTTTATAATTTTAACTTTTAATGTCTATCATTTTTCTCTCTTTTTCCATTTTCATTACACAATTTTTGAAATAACAATAAAAATAATTTTTATTAAAATTTCGTATGTGATTTAATTCGCTAAAATGATGGTAAATAATAAAAAGTAAAATTTTGAACTTTTTTTTTTCATTTTTTAAGATGGATTCTCAGGATTTGGTTATAAATGCAAATGATTTGGATAAAAATTCCAGTCAACATTCCAGCGATGAATTGAGTAATGTTAGTGATAACAATGATACTGATAATGGTGATAAGGATAATAGTGATGATGGTTCAAGTATTTGTAATAATGATTCTGATATGTACGATTTTATAATTTTGATTTAATGTTGCATATATGATTTTACTATTTAAAATTTAACGAAATTATTGGGTTATTTTATAGGAAATTTTCAAAATGTAAAGAAAAAAAGAAAATTATTTTTTAGAAAAATAAAAAAAAATTTTTTAAAATTGTTTTTTTTATGATAATTAACAGATTAGCTTTATAACCTTTTTTTTTTTCAAAATTTTTATTTTATCAGAAGTTGGTCATCAGAAATAGAAATGAATTATCAAAAAAATAAATGTGCATCACAATTATTGCTACTAAATCAACAATATTATGATAAAAATGATACATTATCAATTGCTAATGCTGGAAATGTTGATAACGAAATAGCATTATCACTTTGTCATAGTAATACGTCAAAGGTAATTAATTAAATTTTTTTTTCTTTTTTGTTTTAATTTTTATTTTCATTCAAATTATCATAATATCACTTTTGCTATCCTTTAAATTTAAAAATATAATGAATTGATATTACAATTTAATAATTTTAATTTTATTTTTCCTTTTACAATTTCTCTGCTTTATTTATTTATTTACTCATTTAATCTAGGATGATAATTTAAATAGTGATAGCGATGAGGAATTTGCTGTACATGCATGTTTACGAGGACTTATTAAATCAAAATCAATATCTTCAATTCAAAAACATAACCATGAAACATCTTTATTACATGCAGATATGTTTTTTATTTTTACTTTTTTGTTTTTAATTTTGATTTTAATTAATTATTAACTAAACATTTTATTTATCATTCTAATTTTAATTTAAATTAAATGTAAAAATAGGAATTAATTTGAGCAAGACTAAGGTAGAGGATGAAAAGAAGCCAATAATACAAAAATTTAACATTTTAATTTCAATAAATAATTAATTTAACCATATAGATTAATCTACATTTAATTTAATAAGAATGCAAATTAAAATATGTTCACTTAAGAATCAATTAAAATATATGAATAAATTAATAATTAGCTTAAATAATAATAAGTTAATTTAATTCGTTGTAAACGGATTACACAATGAAAAAATGTTAATTTTTTTTTTTTAAATAATTTTTTAGTTATTAAAGAAAATCAAATTACATACTACTATTCATACTATATATTAGTAATATTAAAAAGTGAGAAAAGGAAATTATGAATTCAACAAAAATTAATCGAGAAAAAAGCAAAAATTAGCAAAACAAATTAAGAAAATTAAATTTTAGAAAAATTAAAAAAGAAAAAAAAATTCCTTCTATTATTTTCATATTTATATTTGAATAAAATAATTTAAAATTTTTTTTTCCTTTTTTTTGCAGATGAAAAAATTTATGCAAATAATACATTTATTACAAATATGCATAATGGTAAATGTTTGAATGATGATTTTATTAAAATGCAATCAGTAAGTGACGATGAAACTACCGCATCTTCTGCACCATATTTTTCACGAAATAATTATCGGACAGCAATATTTAAGGTTAATTTTTTAATATAATTAGTAAATAATATTCATAAATTAGGCATATCATAATTATATCATACACAAATGTTTAAATATAATATAATTAGTAAATATTATTCAAATTTAATGTAGTTATTAAATAATTAGTAAGCACAAATATTTAAATTTAATGTAACTAGTAAATATAATTAGTGAAAAAAGATAATATAATTAGCAAATATTATTTAAATTTTATATAATTAATAAATATAATTAGTAAAAAAATCTATAAAGTGAATATAACATAATTAGTAAATATTATTTAAATTTATTATAGTTATTAAATAATTAGTGAACACAAATGTTTAAATTTAATATAATTAGTAAATATTATTTAAATTTAATATAATTAATAAATATAATTAGTAAAAAATAATACAAATAGTAAATATTATTTAAATTTAATATAGTTATTAAATAATTAGTAAACACAAATATTTAAATTTAATATAATTGGTAAAAATATTAATATAATTAGTGTAATTATAATATATTTAATGTAATACTCATAAACAGTTTCACTAATTTATTTCACATATTGAATTATCTTTGAAAGTGACTAATAATAAAATTTTTATTAGCAAATAAAATTTTTATTTGTGTATGATTATTTAAATTATTATTTATTAGCTAAGGTGAATAAAAAGAAAAAATAGCAAAGTGATAATTTAAACTTTTGCAGTTTTATTCATATTTCTTTCTTTTATTAATAATATTTAATTGACTCATTTTATAGCTAATATTTAATTTTTATTTTACTTTTGAAATAGTTCAATAATTTTCTAATTTCTTTTTTAGACATTTAACATTTTTTTTTCTTTTCTTTGTTAATTTTTTTTTCCTAAATATTAAAATTTTTCTTTCTGTCATTTTTTTTTCCTTTGGAAAAAATTTAAATGAAAAATTAATAAATCAATTTATTTGCTTGTAATGATTTTTCTTTTTTTTTTTTGTTGCTATTGAAAAAAAGCAATTAATTTTTTTCTTTTTTTTTAAAATCATATCAATGATTAAAATTGTATTTGATTAATTTTTAATATTATATCAATGTTTGAAATTATTTTTAATATAATTTTAAAATTTATATTAATGATGAAAAATTTTAGACAAAATCAAATACAAATGTAAGCGATAATTGGTCAACAACAGCAAATAATTTCAAATATGGAATAAATTTTGAAAGTGATGATGATTTGGAAGCAAGATCATCACCATTTACCTGTTGCTGGTCAGCACCAGAATTTATTGTTGACAATGAGCGACAGGTATTGCAGTTATAAATTTTTTTAAATTTATTTCGGTTTTTTTTTTCTCTCAATTATCATTTATTTTATAACATTAATATAGTAGTCTTTTCTTTTTTTTTTTGTTCAAAAAAATTTGCATTTTTTTAATTTGTAATTTATAAAATCTTTTTTTTGAAGAAAATATATTTGTTATTTTAATTGGTCATTTTTTTTTTTTGAAATTATTTAAAGCAATAAGTATGAATAGTAATGATTAATTTAATAAATGTTTATGATGTTAAAATAATATTTGTGAATAATTTTTTTCCTTCCTCTTTTTTTCAAAAAAAAAAAAAATTAAATATATTGAAATTTGAAATAGATCAGGCAATTGAAAAAGATTAGATATAAGTTATTGAAGGTTAAAGGTTAAAACATTTATATTTTATTGAAAAGAATCTTTTGTGTTTGTGTGTTTATCTTAAAATTGTTTATTTCATAAAAAAATTTGACAAATTTTTTTGCATTTAATAAAATTAATCTTTAGTCATCTGTGGAATTATCAAGTTCACAAGAAGATGCTTGTTTTAAATTTGATGAAAATTTTGCAAATGAAAAATGTGAACAACAAACTTTGCATTGGTTACTTCTTAAATTTATTTTATTTCATTCATTTTTTTTTTTTTTGAGAAATTTGAACAAATACAAACTTTTCCTTTTCTTTTTCTAAAGTAATTAATTAATTATAAGAAAACAAAGAAGCAAAAAGAATTGAAACTGAAATATGTTAGCATAGTTAATGGCAATGATTAATTAATTAATTATTGTTTTTAGTGCTAATTTATATGATGAGTATGATGAAGCAATGCGTACAAGTATTTTGGATTTTAATACTGGATCAACTGGAGTTAATAATAATTTAACACATTTAAATTTACCATTAAATGTGATGGTGACATGTCGACGAGTAATCTCTGAAAATGACTCACTTTGTATGTATGATGCTAGTCCATCACCACCACATCAGTAAAGTTTTTTCTTTCTAATATTCTTTTTGTTTTATTTTTCAATTAAAAAAATTAAAAAAAAAAAAAAAAAGAAAAATTGAATTTTATCAAATTTACCTGTTAAAAGCATAAATTAGTAATTTTTCATTTAAATTTTAAATTCTTTCAATAAAATTTTTTTTTTTCAAATTTTTTTGTTTTTTTTTTCTTTTTCTTTTTTTTCAAATTGAATTTTATCTAATTTAATCTTAAATTTTAAATCCATCAGCTTTTTACTTTTTTGTCTTTTTTTCCATTTTTTTTTTAAATTAAAATTTATAATTATGCAAAATGTAAGTGTTAAATAAATTAATATATAATTTTTTAAATAAATTAATATCATTTCTTTTTTTTACAGAGAAGAGGAAATAAGTTTTGTTGATGAATTAACAGAAATGAATGAAACTGTCAACAAATGGACACCCGAAGCTCTTCTAAATTTTGCTAAAGAAACTTTCGGGGAAAATTCTGAAACTGAAAGACAATTAAATGGAAAATATAATATAACATCAACAATTACAAAAATATCAAAATCACTTGGAAATTTACATTTGTGGTTAATTTCCATTTTTTTTTTTTTTTGAAATAATTAAGCAAAAATTTATTTAAATGTTTTGCTTTTTAATTTGTTTAATAAATGATCACTTAATTTTAATTATTTGATTTAAAATGATCATTTTAATCTTTCTTTTTTCAAATAATTAATCCTATTCTCTTCTATTTATACGATTATTATTTTCTTTCTTTTTTTTTTAAAAAAAAATAATTAAGCAAAAATTATATACAATTTATTCAAGTATTATTCATATTTTTAATTTTATTCATTTTTATAATTAATATCTTAGCATTGTTTAAAATAGAAATTTTGATATTAATTAGTTAAATTCTTTTTTTTTTTTACTTCTTTTTTTAATAGGGAAACGGAAATGGGTTGGATTACAAGAAAACCGTCAGTAATGGATCATTCCGGAATAGTTATGCGTCAAAGTATTAGCTGTCATGATCAGATGATTACGTCATACGTGGATTGTGTTATACAAAATCATTATAATAGGTTTGTTAATATTTACTATCAAATTTCAAAAAAAAAACAAAAAGGAAAGGAGAAAACACGCTATACACGTTACTTTTATTCTTTTCACGTTACTTTATTCTTTCTTTTTTTTAAAGTTGCATTTTAATTTACTTATGTTACTCTTACATTTTCTTATGTGATTTTATTTAATTTACTACTCCTATGATTTTATTTTATTTAAAGTTATTTAAACTTTTGCATTACTGAATAAATTTAAGAAAATAAAATTTAGAAACTTTAGTAGAATTTTTTTTTAAAATAAAAATAATTGAAAAATGATAGTTAATATTGTGGATTGTGTTATACAAAATGATTATAATTTATTTTGAAATGATTATAAACTTCTTCATTAATGATAATATCATTAATTTTATATATGTTTTATATTTATTAGAAATAAAAAAAGAGTAATTAGCATTGATTATTAACATTTTCATTTTCTTTTTTGAAATTTAATACATTTTTTTTTTTTTGCTATTTAAATTATAATTTTAATAAAAAAAATGATTAAAATTATTCTTGTAGATGTTCTTCACCAGATTGTCGTAAATATGCTTCTAAGCCAGATACATTGAAAAAGCAAATGATGACAATGAATAGTGAAAGTGATACGTCAGATGACGAATGGATTCGATGCGTGGATGACGTACCATTAGATGAAACACTTAACACTGATAATCATTCACGTAACGAAATTTATTCTCAAGTTAGGGTATCATTTTTCATATTTTTTAACTAAATAATAATTACTATAATTCATATTTGTAATTAGATCAAAAAATATATAAATTAAAATAAGCAATTATCAGTGAAATGTTATCAATGAAATGATAATTAATTATTATAAATGTTTTATAATATTCGTTGAATTTTTGAAATTTTACCTTTTTTTTTGTTTTCAAGAAATTAACCGCTGATGAGGAAATGATAAAAGTGACGAATCAGATGGATTATTTAAATGATGATGAATTCTTATCATATCAGTCAAAATATCAGCATACTACTTTGAATGATCCAATGCAACGTAGATCATATTCATTAAATATTTTGGATAAACTACCAGAAGCACTGATCGATTTGGAAAAAGAAAGATATTTATTCATAACAAAAATGATTACTACTGCTGATAAGGAGCACTATTATGCTGATATTCGAGATTTATCAAATTTCAATCAACATGCAATCTACTATACAAATATGAGTGATAAAAATGATCTCGAATATGAATCAGATGAAAGTATTAAAAGTGATAGTGATAATAATGACAATGAGATTGATGTTATTGATGATTTTAATGATGATAATGATAATGATCATGATAATCTTGATGATGATGATGACACATTTACGGGTCATATTCTTCCGGTTCAAAGAAGCAAATTACCGAATTTTTATGAATTTACATTTGATATTAAAAAGACAATTCATAATGATACTACAAAATTACTATCAAATATTGATAAAAATGTTTATCCAGTTATTGAAACGTATAAACCAGGTTGAGTTTTTTTTTTTTTTCTTAAAGTATTAGTATTTAAAAGTAAATATGAGTAATGATAGTACTGAAATAATTTTCTGAAAATAAATTAATTGAAATTTAAATACATAATCATATGATATTAATAAGTGCAAGTAATTATTAAATCAAATGGAATTAAATTTTTACAAAAATAAAGAGGAAAAGAAAGATTAAAAAAAGTTATAACTAATTGATTTAAATTATTTTTTTTTTCTTATTGTTATTGTTTATTTAATAGAAATTGATGAACAAATAATGAATTCAACGGTAACTTTATGGGATAATTGCTGTGAATATGCTCAACAAATAAATGAAATTGCTCGAGTTTGGATTCAAAAAACATCGGAAACATCAAATATTAGTGAAATGATTAACACACAACAAACTTCGACAACAATTTCTCCAAAATCGTAAGTTTGTTTATTTATTTTTATTTTTGTTTAAATTTTTTTTAAAAAAGATTTTTAAATTAGATAATAAAATTTTTTAAAATAAATAAATAAGCAAAAAAAGAAAAAATTGCATGAAAAATAAATTATTGGATGAAAAATACAAAAACTAATTTTTTTTTTTAATTAATTTTTTTCGCAAATTCAACATTTTATTTTATATTAATTTAATAATTCCAAAATGATTTTTTTTTCTCTGAAAAAATACAAAAAATTTTTTGATGAAAAAAAAATATTTTATTAATTTAATTTTATATTTTAGTGATAATTTAACAAATTCCACAATGGAAGCGATCGCATTGAATAATCAATGCTTACCAGCTTCATTACCTGTTGATGGTATGCTTACTTAATTAATTAAAAAATAAATAATTGTGCTAATTTTTTTTTTTTGAAACCTGAATTTAATAAAAGTGGAATAATTTATCCTTCATTAAATAGAAAAGATAGATAATTAAATAGATATAACTTTCTAAGATCATTAAAGATTATTAAATAATCTTAATTTACAAGGATTTTTTTCCCTCTCTCCCTCTATACATCTGTCCCTCTCTCTCTCTCTCTTTGTCCTTTTACCTACTTAAAAACTTATTATTATTCTCACTGAAATGGTCAAAAATTCAAAAGTCAATTTATTTCGTTCCATCTTTCCGTGATAGTTTACTCTTTGTTTATTTTTTTATTCAATCATTATCAAAAGTTTACAATTTATTCACTATCATTATCAGTTACTCGAAATGATAATTGTTAATTTTACTAATTAGTAGCGATTAAAACTGATTAATTAATTTAAACTAAATGTGCTAATTAGCATAAAACTGATAAGATCAGGTGAATTTGAGAATTAAACTTTGAGAAAAGCTTTTTTCTCGTAGTAAATTAAGTAAGATTGTTATTTCGAGAAATTAGAAATTAACTAAGTTTGTTTTGAGAAATTAGAAACCAACTAATTTTTCAGATTTATCATTTTGAGAAAGATAAATTAACGCAAAAATTATAGCTTTTTTCCATTTTTTTTTTTTTTTTTTTTTTTTGATAATAAAATATTTTATCTTTTCAAAATTATTTGAGCTAATTAAAAAACTTTCAAAAATTATTAATAATTTCATTTTATCTAATTTTATTCTTAATTTATCAATAATAAGCCTTCTTTTTATGCCAAGAATTGAATGAAATATACTTTAAAACCTTCCAAACTTAATTAATCAAATTAGTTATTTTTGATAACTAATTTTTTATCTAAGTTAATTAGTCTGACAAGTTATAATTTTTTTTTGGCTAATTTAAAATTTTGTAATTTAATTAAACATAGCTCACAAGTAAATTCTCTTCCTTCGTCTTTTTTTTTTTGTTTTTTTTTTCTTGCTTTTAAATTTTATATTATAAATATTTAACTTTAGGTAATGCTATTTTCATGGGTAATTTTTGTTAGCTAACTGATATTCCAATATTAGTTAGCTAACAGTACTTTTACTATACACATAACCAATATTTTATATTTAACTAATATTTTACCATATGTTAAAATATTTGCCTAAATCCCCTGGTAATCATATTATTATTACTATTACTGCTATCATTGAAATAACTATTATTTTAATAATTGCTATTTCAATGATTTATTGTTTGTCACAAAATTCTTTGATGGAATAATTTATCAATTCCAAAAGTATGACAACCAGACAAATGTTAAATGTTAGAAGCATTAGCATATATTCAAATTTTTAAAAATTTGTGTAAACATAATAGCAATAACTTTTATAGTTAGAATTGTATGTTTAGAAATTATTATTATTATTATTACTATTAATATTATTTTTATTGTTATTATCACTATTTACAACGTTTTATAAATTTATAAAATATGTATATGATTTTGATGATTAAATTATTTGAAAATTTTATAAGTTAGTATATTTTATGTAAATTAATAATATATAATTTAATAAATGTATAATTTTTTAAATTAGTGTAATTGTTTAATTATTTTGTCATTAATTTCAATTATTATTATTAAAAATTTTTTTTTTCTTTTTTTAAAATCAGTATTCAATCATTAAAATATTTAATTTTATTTAAAATTTAATGGATTTATATTAAAAAATATAATAATTTTCTGAGATTCTCACTTTTTTTTGCAGTATAACTCAAATTGCTAACAATAAATTAATAAAATATTATAATAGAGGGAAAGAGAAAGTAAGAGGGAGAGAGAGAGAGGGAGAGGGAAGATAAAAAAAGGGAAAATGAAGGAATAAATAAATTTGAAAGACAATTTATTCTCTTCCTTCTCCTTCTTCTTCGTTTTTTTTTCTTTTAATACATTTTGAGGAATGTTTAAATGAAATGTTCGCTAGGCTTAAAAGCAATCGATGCTTTAGACTAAATCTTATGCTTCAAACTAAACTATCATAGCACTAAAATTTTTTTTTTTTATTGATTCATTTTATTTAGCAAATAAAATGAATGTCTCATCAGTGTCTATCTCATTTCTCGTTCATTCATTCTCGAATTTTTCATTTTATCAATTTCATTCCGTTTTTTTTTCCGTTTTTTTTCCGTTTTTTTTTTTGCTTATAACTTCTTTTTTCTTTGAATTTTAATAAACAATGCTTTTTTAAGTGTAAATTTTTCATCGTTTCCTTTTGGTATGTTATCATTATCATTTCAAAAAGTGATAATTATTTGTTATATTAGCAATTACAGTCAAATATTTCTTCTTGTTTAGCGCTATGTGTGACATTTCATCGTAATGTGTCACAATTATTTCTTCCTTTTTTAAAATGCAGTTTATGAGTATTCATTAATATTAATATTATTATTATCATTAATGTTATTTATTACTAATAATTATTTGATAATTATAATTGTTATCATTTTAATATCATCAATACTCGATATTTCACCATTATTAGAATTATCAAGCATTATCAGTTAGCATTCTTATCCTTATTTTTATCATCATTTTTATTTTTTTAATTGTTAACTAATATAATATAATTTTTTATTAAAATAATGTTATTAGTTTTATTCTCTTTTTTACAATTTTTTTTTTTTAAATTAATACTCAAATTTTTTTTAACGGAATAATTTATCATTTGAAATTCGTTTCATCTATAAAAAAGATATTATTATTATTATAACTGTTATCACCAAATTTTTTTTTATTATACAAAATTTTAATTTAAAATTTTAGTTACATTTATTTTTACAATTAATGTTTGATTCATTCACTTTTAATTATGTAATTCATTTATTATTGTCCTTTTTTTTTCAGTGTTACTAAAATTCTTTTTGGAATTTTACTATTCATTTTTGTTTTTTTTTTTTTATTTTTTCATTGATTGTTCTATTTCTTCAACTTTTCTTTTTTCTTTTTCTTTCCTTTTTCGTTTTTTTAATTTTAAATTTAACTATTTTTTATTTTTTATAATTTGAAATAAATTTGCCATCTATAATTTAATAATACAAAATAGAAGAAAATTCTAGAATAACTAAATAAAAATAATCAATTTGCGCTTTTATGTGAAAATAAACCAAAACGATAGTTATAAATCAAATTCATTCATATTATCATTTAAAATAATTCATCATAATTCACTAATTTCTTCAATTCAATATGTATGTATGTGTATGTGTGTATGTGTGTGTGTGTGTGTGTGTGTGTGTGTGTGTGTGTATGTGTATGTTTCTTTCATTAATTAAAAGTTTGATTAAAGTAATGAAAGTTTCATTTATAAGTTAATACATCATTTCCAATTTCAATATTTTATCATTAATTTCAATATTTCATTTTTAATTTAACCTTTTTATTATTATTTTTTTTTTGGCAAAAAGTTAATGATGTAAATAATAAATTGAAATTATTCGAAATTCAAATTCATTTTAATTATAAATGAAATTTCAATATTAACACATAGATTAATGATAAAATGATAATTAATTAGAATATCGATTATTTAAATGTCTCATAATTATTTCTCTTTTAATTATTATTATTATATGTTCTTTTTTTTTTTTTTAATATATACAAAATTTTAAAATTAAAAAAAATTAATTGAATTAAAGATTAAAAACTATTATTATTATTGCTGTTATGAAAATCTTTTCATTTCACATATTTATTAGTTTAATTCAATTAAAATTTGTCAGCAATTATCATAACTGATAGTGATTAAATTTTATTCATCACTAATTGATAAGAGATTTATTCCAAAAATTTTCGTTTTTTTTTTTTTTTTTTTTTTTTTTTTTTTTTTTTACTTTTCTTTTTATCAAATTTATTTTAAAATTTTATTAAAATTTATGGCAATAAATAATTTTAGTATTACCTGGAAAATTTCTCACTCATTCACCATTATCAACAGTATCAGTTGTTCATCGACGTTTACCACCACTACCAATTAATTCATTATCAGCAAATATTATCACTACTCCTATCACTACTCTTATCACTACTACTACTACTGCTACTACAACAACAGCTACTACTGCTTCATTATCTGAACATCATTTCAATTCAACGACATCATCTCCGATGTCAACAAATTTATTCTCACCATCAACAATTGTTTCTTCTCCCATTCAACAACAAGTTACTAAAGAAGATCATAGGTATGAAATAATTATGAATAAATAAGTAAATTAATTAATTAATTAATGAAATAGAAAACAAAAATTATTTGGTGAAATTTTTTGTATTTTTGAATTTAATTTATTGAAAAGAGCAATTTAAAAAATTATATCTAAAAAATAGAAATGCTTGTTCTATTGTTAAGGAATAAATGAAATTTAAGTTTAAGTAAATTAATAAGTACATTCATATCCATGTCATTCTTCCTTTCTTTTTTGAAATGATTAAATAAGCATACGAATATCTAGATTATTACTTTTCTTTTGAGATACTTAAGTAAGTACACGGATATTTGCGTAAGTAAATGCACGGATATTTACGTCATTTTTTTTAAAGTACTATATATGGATTTATATGAATAATTTTTTCTTTTCTTATTTTATTTTTCATATTTTAATTATAACATTTTTGCGTTACCGAAATAATTTTGGAATTTTTTTTTAAGTTTAAAATTAAATGTTTATTAATATGCATCAATTTTTATAGGTAAATTATAGGTTAGAATGAAATGATATATAGAAAATTGCATTCATTTTATTAAAGTAATATAAGTATTACTTATACTAATTTATTATTATTATACTTTTATAATTTATTACAATGCGTTTTTGCATTGATATAAGCATAAAGATAATAATTAAAATTTAAATCGAAAAGACATTTTTTTTTATAACTGTAATTTTATTTTAAAAAATTAATTATTTAATAAGATTTTTATTTTATAATATAGATTAATATGAAAAAAAAATTATTAATATATTAACAAATTTTATGATTTAAACTTATTTTCCAGAGCAAATGATATATGATAACATAAATAATAATAAGGATAATTTAGTTTGAAAAGTGCCATTTTTTAAGAAATTAGAAATGAAATAAAATAAAATATTTTAATGAGAAAAAAAAAAGATTTATTTGAGCAAAAACCATTCCTTTTTCTTTTCTTTTTTCACTTAAAATTTTAATACATTTTTCTTCCTCTGTTTTTTTTTTTTTTTTTTTTTCAAAATTTAACTTTTAAATGTTGAACAATGCATCGAAAATGTTTAATAATAATTAAATAATTAATTGTTTTTTTTTTTTTTTTTTTTGGTAGAATCTATTAAAAGCACAGAAAGATATGGCAAAAAAAAGTTTCCTAAAAATTATTTTTTACTTTTCTTTTTTTGTTTTATTCATTAAAAAAGCAATGAAAAATTAATGAATAAATTTTAAATGAAAATAAAAAATGTTATAGTAATGATTGAAAATGATAAATAACAAAAGATATAATCTTATCATCAATTTTAAATCTAATCTTTTCTTTTCTTTTTTTTTTTCTTTGTTTCAAATCTGTTTAATTTTTAATAAATAATCTACAAATAATGATAAGTTAAATAAGCAATAAATTGACTTATTTGATACGTAGCATGCTTGCATGCAGCGTAAACATCGTATTGATATGCTATTAATGCTGTTGAATTTTTTAGCTCATAATTTATGGATTGACTTATTTGATACATGCAGCGTGCTTACATGCAGCGTAAATATGCTATTAATATTGTGGGTTTTTTTAGCTCAAATTTCTGAAATAATTGACTCATTTAATACGTAGCATGCTTACATGCAGCGTAAGCATCGCATTGATATGTTATTAATGTTGTGGGAATTTTTGGCTCATAATTTGTGGATTATTTAACACATACGCATGGCTTGCATGCAGCGTAAATATGCTATTAATTTTGGGTTTTTTTAGCCAATAATTTATGAAATTTTGAACAAATTACCAAACATTAAACTCATTTAATTTTTTCCAAAATATATAAAATAGCTATATTCATCTATAAATAATTTGCTAATTTATAAGGAAAATATATTATTAAAATGGACTAGAAAAAAAAAAAAAAACTTTGATAATGTAATTTTATAAGCAAAAATAAATAATTTCTAGCATTTCCTTTTCATACATTTTTTGAAATTTGAAAAACTATGTTTTACATTAATTTTTGAGAATCTTAGTAGCATTACTTTAAGCATTTTACATTTTATCATGCTGATACTAATGCTATCAGCAGTTTAATTTATTTCAAGTATAAATTAATTTATTATCATTCATTTCTAAAAAATCCATTTTTAAAATTATATAAATTAAATTATTCTTATCATAAACTGTTACATTACTTTTCCTGTAATAATCACAATTTTCCGAATCAAATTTAATTATTTAAACCTTTCACAAATAACTTATATTAGACTTACAGTAAAATATAGTGAAAGAAAAATTTACCATTCATTAAATTTGTATTAAAATAATGAAATGAAATTTTGATTGTATTAAAATTGTGGAACAAAATTTTTGAAAAAAAATTTTTTGTTTAGGATTTGCTTTGGTACTGACTCAGTGATGAGTCGTTCAGTGCTACTGTTTGATGATAATAGCTACTATGATGATAATAATCTTAATGATAATCAAATTTCTTCCAGAAAAGGTATATTACTTTTTACAAAAAAAATACTACCTTGTATATACTATAAAATAAGTACATTAATGCCAAATCATCTTTATTATGCTTATCATAGGAAATTTAATTCAAAATTTTTGATTTTTATTTTCAAATTTAAATTTATCAAAACAATCATACATGTAATAAATATATCAATGTTAAAATATATATATCATCTTAATGAAAAGCAAAAAAATAAATAGTAATATTAATAGAATAATAAAAAGAAATTCATTACAATAATACATTAAATATATAATGAATATGTTTAATTTTACAAGGAATATGTCTACTATCAATACATTTATTTTATCATACTAATTAAAAATATTTGGTTCTTTTTTAATTTAAATTTTAAATTTAAAAAAATACCATATATGAAATAAATCTTTCCAAAAGATGAAACAAAATGAAAATTGAAATAAAACTAGAATATTCCTTTAGTAGTACTTTCAGATGACTCATCCGGTGTGTCATCCTGTTGTACAGGTATTGTTGACCAGTTCAATCCAACTCATCGAGTACATTCTTCATTTATTCCACGACACGATGATGAGGTACTGCTGGAAATTGGTGATGCAATTCATGTTGAAAGGGAATGTGAAGATCACTGGTGCTATGGTACCATTTTATTTCTCGAAATTACCATTTCTTTTTCTCTCTCTTTTAAATTATTTCTAATTTTAAGTTTTATACAATTTTTTTGTTTTTTATTATTTTAATAAGGACTCTTTGGTGCTATGGTACCATTTTATTTCTCGAAATTATCATTTCTTTTTCTCTCTCTTTTAAATTATTTCTAATTTTAAGTTTTATACAATTTTTTTGTTTTTTATTATTTTAATAAGGACTCTTTGGTGCTATGGTACCATTTTATTTCTCGAAATTACCATTTCTTTTTCTCTCTCTTTTAAATTATTTCTAATTTTAAGTTTTATACAATTTTTTTGTTTTTTATTATTTTAATAAGGACTCTTTGGTGCTATGGTACCATTTTATTTCTCGAAATTATCATTTCTTTTTCTCTCTCTTTTAAATTATTTCTAATTTTAAATTTTGAGTGATTGATTTTTTTTTTAATCTTTTTTGCGCATATATAAAGAATAATAAAATTTTCAAATTATTATTTTAAATAAATGAAAATAATTTTTTAATTTTTTTAATATTTAGTAAATATATATTTTTTCAACAAGATTATTGGTAGAAAATTAATTATCTTACTACTTTTTCCTTGTGGTTATGATTGTTTAGTTTATTTGAATTAAATGAAAAAAAAACATAAATTAAATTAATCGAAACAATAATAATAATAATAATAGTAATAAAATGTAAATAAATAAAATAAATGATAATGAAATTATTGAAATGATAAAATAATAAATTAGGAATATAATTTAAAGGTACAAATCTACGAACCAACCAACATGGCATCTTTCCATCAGCACATGTTTGTGAAATTGATTTAGTTGAAGAAATTTGCATGGGAGCATTACCAAGTAATGTTAATCGTAAGCTATCATTTTTATTTACATTTCAAATTATTTTTAAATTCAAATTAAGTATATATTTTATTAAAAATAAAAAATTCTTATCTTTTTTTTTTTTTTTTTTTTTTTTTGCAATTTCAATAATTTTTGTTCTTATTTGTTTTGTATACATTTTCTGGATTAAAATTTATTTCAATTTAAAATTTCAACATTTGCTTCATAATATCTTAGAAATAAGCAATGAATATTGATTTAATCATAAATGCTAATAATTAATTGAAATTGAATATTGAATTTAATCATAAATTAATGAATTTGATTGAATGCTAAAATTGATTTATAACAAAATGTTTGAGCAATTACATTTTGAATTAATTTTACTTCAAAATTTATGCACAATTATTCTAATTTTATGCATCAATAATTAAATTAATTTAAAAATTGAAATAACTTTCAGAACTTAAGTAATACTTTTTTTTTTTTCCCAGAAACGATGACAAATGAACGTGACACATTTTATTTGACAATGTTAGCATCAATTGAAGTTGCACATCATAAAGGCAATGATATACTTATACAAGCTATGAATAAGGTTGTCATCAAATTTATCAAATTTTTTAAATCATTTTAATTTTTCTTTTTTTTAATATATATAAATTATTTATTGAAATTAATGGAAAAAATTTTTGAATCTTTTTATTATACTTTAAATTTTTTTTTTCTTTAATATAATTTATTACAAAATTATTGTTTTCTCTTTTTTCTTTTTTTTTGTGCCATTTTTTATGTATTTTCAATTTTGCATAAGAAAATAAATTTTACTATTGTCACAAATTTAACTTTCTTTTAATTTTAATTAATGAATAATTTATTTCATTTTGAGCAATTTTAACCAAATTGGAAAAATAAATTATTCTAATTTTTCCATTTATTATCCTTTTCCTATTATTATTACTATTATTTCATTATTAATTTTTTGACTATAGTAATTATAATAATATCTAATTTTATGAAAATTATAGTTTATTTAAATAATACTTTATTTCATATATAATAATATAATTAATTAAAAGGAAGAAAAAAAAAATGAAAATGTAAACCGAAGAAAAGATTTAAAAAAAATACAATTAATTTAAATAATAATAATAGGAATTTGAAAAATAGAAATTAAAATATAAATTTAGGTACTTGGTGTTTATCAAAATAAGGAAGAAATAATAGTACCACAAACAGTACTAATGGAAGTATCATTTCGTGGTATACATATTATTGATAAACGACGAAAGAATGTAAGTTATTAATATGAAATTAAATTAATTCAAAAAAAAAAATAGTAATAGTGAAATAATTATTTATGTTTATGGTAGAATAAGAGAAAAGAAAAAAAAAGAAATTAAAATTAATCTTTAATTAATAAATTAAATTAAATTAAGCATAAAAGTGAAAAAGCGGATATAAATGCAAGAATTTTAAAAAATTTTTTTTGTTTTTTTTTTCGTATAAGATTAAATTTAACAAATTTTCTTTATTGAAAAAGATTTTTTTCTCTTTTTGTTCTTTAAAAAATTCAAATCCGATAATATAATTAATTTAAAAAAAAAAGCTTACACAGTACGCATTTTAATTTCATTTCATGTTTTAATTTTATTATATTTTCTTTTTTCTCATACAATTTCTTATTTAATAAGAATTTTTGTTTGCATTCTTTTATGGTTGAAAACAAAAAACTGAATTGATCGATTAAAATTTATTATTCATATTTTACATTTTTAATTTCAATATTTTTACATTTTTGTCATAAATTTTTTGTTTTTCTTATATTTAAATTAAATATTATTTGTTTATTACATTTACCTTTTTTATGCATTTTTTTCTTCCAAAATTCATTTAGAAACAAATAAATTAAAGCAAATAAATTCCGAAATAAATAAAATATTACTTTTGATATTTTAAAATTGATTAAATATTTATTAATTTTTGTATAAACTTTTCAGTTTTTTCAATGTCCTACATTTGATTTCTTCTATAGCTTACAAAATATTTCATTTTGTGGTGCACATCCAAAACAACTTAGGTTTGTTTATTGTTTATTTTATTTTATTTTTTTTTTTTTTTGAATTTCAGTGAATTTCAGTTTGTGATAATTTTTACTCTGTGCTAAAATAATATTTATATATATGATTAGTGTATTCGGATAATATAATTCCTTTCTCCTTTCAGATATTTCATTTTGTTATGATAATAATAATAATAATATTAATAATAACAATGATTTTTTAATAATAATAATATTTTTTAAGTAATTTTAATAAAAGTTTAAATAGTTTTAAAGAATAGCAATTCTTTATTAACAATAATAATAATAATAATGGTTTTGCAATTGATGGAATTTTAGCAATAATGGCGATAATAATGGCAATGATTTTTTCAATAATAATGATTATTTTTTAATAATAGCGATTTTTTAGTGATAATAATAATGATTTTTCAATAATAACGATGATAATATAGCGATAATTTTTTTTCAGCTTAATCACAATTTTTTATAGTGATTTTTCTTTTTTTTAAAGGTATTTTGGTTTTATAACTAAACATCCATTATTACCACGTTTTGCTTGTCATGTTTTCTTGTCAAATGTCTCAACACAACCAATTGTTGAATCGATCGGGTAAAAATAAATTTTACTCTTATTAATTTAACAACATTATTTCCCGGGAATTTTTTTACCCTCAGAATACGGTTGATAAATATTTGGTAAAAAAAAAGGGAAAAGAAAGAGCTAAAATTACTATTTCAAATAAATTCAAATTATGTTAGATAAATCAATTTTACGTCAATTAATTTTATGATAATTGTTAAGCTTTGTCTTCAAAGCCAATTTTGTTATTTACAAAAATTATTTTATTTTATATTTTGTAACTTTGAATTTTACAAATTAGTAAAAAAATGAAAGAAAAAAATAAATTAAAATTAAATTTCAGACGTGCTTTTAAGCGTTCATACGATGAATATATGGCATTTGCGCATCCAACAGAAGATATTTATCTTGAATAATTTATAAATAAAACACTTTATTTTTATTTTGATAATCAAACATTTTTAGGAAAAAAAAAATTGAAATAAAACTTTTATAATTACATTCATTTTATTTTTATTGAAATAATCATTTGTACATATTTGAAATATTAAATTAATTTTTGGTTGGTTTTAATACTGTATGAATTAAATAAATTAAAAAGTTATTAAATTTTTGTGTGGAAAAAAAGTTTTTGCTTTTTTTGTTTACTTTTCCTATTTTTTTTCTTTTGACGAAAAGGAAATGAAAAAGATTTTAACGAATGTTTTTTTTTTATTACTTTTCTTTTTTTTTCAATTTCCTTTATTTTTTTCTAACCATTATTTTAAATGATATTTACGTCAAAGTACAAAATTTTAAAAATTTAAAAATTTTTGTTTTCGTTTTTTTTTTTTTTCTTTTCTCTAATTTCTACACTTTTTCACAAATTTAAGCTTAGACTTCTTTTTTTTTCCTTGCTTCATGCTTTTTCTCTACTTATAATCTTATAATTCATTTGTTATTACTTCAAAAAAAAAAAAAAAAAAGAAAGAAAATTTGTATACTTCAAAAATAGGAAATGTACTTCAAAATATATTTTTTTTTTTTTGATTAATTAAAAACAAATATTTGAGTAAAAAAAATGGTTTAATATTCAAAATTATTTATTATTTTTTCAAAACTTTTTTAATTCAAATCCTTTTTTTTTTAGACTTAGAATTTAAAGATTTTTGATTTGAATGACTTGTTTGTATGCTATATTTTTATTTATTTTATAATTTTTCTTATCAATCTAATCTATTTGATATTTATATTTTTATCATTATTAAATTAAATTTATTTGCAACAATAAATTTGCTTTTTTTTCATTATTTACTTATGTACTATATTATAAAATATTTTGTTGTTGAAAAAAAAACGATTTTTCTTTTTAAACCTATACTAAAATTAATTTTTTTTTTTTTTTGTTATTAATTTCTTTTCGCTTTCCTTTAATACATGCAAATAATTCTTGATAAATTAATTAATTAATCGATCAATCGATCGATCAACCAATCAATCAATCAATCATGAAAATGTTTATTGTTTGTAATGAGTTTATTTCCATTTATCATACATATCTGTTGAAGTAGTACAATTTCAACAAAAAAAAAAGCAATAAATCATTTATCTGCTTTCTGATGTAAATGATATGAGCGGTAACAGTGTGATGGTGATAACGATGATGATGATAATGATAACGATGATGATGATGATAGTGATGAACCACATAAAATGAGATATTGTGCGATAAAATAAGTTGATAAGATCAATTTTTCAGCAACTGGCACAGCAATTCCAACGTGATGAATAATTAATGCGCTATCAGATAAATAAAAGAGTAAAAATCCAAGAAATCGTAATAAATTATTCTGAAATTAGTAATTTACTCATTTAATATATTATAATAAATAAAAGAAATCATAAATTAAAAAATAAATTAATCAAAAATATTAATTAACAATAATTAAATCAACTAGGAAAAAACAAAACAAAACAAATGATAATTTATTATTTAATAGTTATTTTTGAGAAAATACAATAAAATTAAGATAGAAAAAAAAAAAAATGAGAAATTGAAATGAAATTATTATTTATTATAGTAATGTTAAAATATTTTATAAAAATTAAAATATGACAAAAAAAAATGTTTTTTTCTTTTTTTAAATTTAGAATTAATCACTAACAAATTGTCGTTGCTGATCATATGGACCGCCACAAATATACAATGAACCACTGAAGAGAACACACATTGATAAAAGAAATGAATAAATAATCATAATTGTTGATGCAATTGGATGTACAATTAGAAGTAATGCAAATGTTACATAAAGTATGATAAAGCTTATCAGTATTATCATAAATAGTAATGGGATGCATAGATTACCAATACGATAGGTAAATGTAAGCTGAAATATGATATTTATGAATAATTTTTTAAAGAAATGATTGAATAAATATGAATTCACAAGTAAATTTAAACTTGAAAATTTTCTTTTTTTTAAGTTAATAGATAAATAAAAAAATTGATTTAGAAAAAAAAAGTTAAAAGTTAAAAATGAAAATTTTTATAAAATTATTTAAATTTAAAATATAAAAATTAATATGTATGCTTAATAATTAGGGAATATTTCGTTGTGTTATATTATTAATAGCGGTTAGAACCGAAAAAAAAATGAAATAAAATATTTTTTATTAAATTTATTTTCAATAATTCTTTTTTTTGAATGTTGAATTAAATTGAATTTAAATTAAATTTGAATGTACGTATGATAGCTCTTTTATCTATTTTTGTTTTTTTATCAGTAATTTTCTTTTTCTCATTTTAATATTATACTATTCATTGATAATAAAATTAGTGATAAAATTACATTTTACTATTTCATTTCATCAATAATTTCAATTATTTATTTCATTGCTAACAGTGTTAAAAGAAAAATTTGCAATTAATTATAAATTTTTTTCTTATAGAATAAAAACAAAAAAAAAAGAAAATTGCAAAAAAGTGTAAAAATAAAAATAAAACTGAAAAATTCATCCAATTTGTTGTATATAATAATTAATAATTAATTTGTGCTAATTAATTACAGTGATATTTACCAAATAAAAAATATGGCCAATAGCAAAACAAGCAGCCCCAAGGATTAGGCCATCATTTGGCCTTGTTATCATATAATCACCAATAGCACCAGCTAATAAGCCAAGTGATGCATAGATATGTTGACGATTGCTAAAGCTTGAACCAACTGCATAGTAAAGTATACTTAAAATTAAAACTGGTAATGTTTTCCTGAAATTTATTTTAAAAAAAAAATTAATTTTTACTCAATTTTATTTCTTTTTCTATTTTTTTTTTTTCATTTAAATATATTAAATTAGTTGCTATCAATTTTTTATGTTAATTTTTAGTAATTAATTTTTGTTAATTTCTCTGTCCTTTCTAAATTTCAGAAATTTATAAAATATAAATTTAATTCATGAAATCTCTCTCTCTCTCTTTTTCCAACATCTGTAAATAAATTTTTGATTACAAAAAAATAAGAAAAGAAAAAAGCAATGTAGTTTTTGTGTTATGATAAAAAGTTATCACAAACATATCACATAGTGATATCTTATCTTTATCACATAATGTTACTTATTACAAATTTGATATAAGAAAGTGATAAGATTTAATTTGTAATTTTAATAAAGTTTCCATAATTTAACTGTTGCCAATATTTCCGTCCCTACATACATTCTATTTTGATAAATTAATAAATTTCTTTTGATAAGTTTTGCTTTTTCCTGATAAACTATGATTGATAAGAATGATTAACTTACCAATATTCATATAAGTTATCACAACTTCGGATAAAACCATTTGATTGATGATAAAAGATAAAAACCAACGCGAAATATGGAAGTGCAAGAAGCGAAGCGTTCATTTGTATTTGTTAATCGTTTTTCAAAAAAAAAAAGAAAGTTGAAAATTTTGAAAAATTTTTAAAAAAAAAAAATGAAGAATTTTTTTTTACTTTATTAAATGAAAAAATTACTACGTAAAATAGGTCAAAGTCACTTTTTTTTTTATTTTTCAAAATATTTTTTATTATTTTTATTAATTATAATATTAAACCAAACGAAAAATGAGAGATGAAAGAAATAATTCTGATAAAACTAAATTGAATTCAAATCAAATAAAAAGAAAGAAAAAACTGAAATAAAAAAAGATATATGATTCAATCAATTGCTGAATTGTTGAATCAATAAAATATAAATATATTAAAATAAATAAATGAATAAAATGAAAATGTAAATAAACAAACAAAATGTAAGCATAAAATTAGCAATAATCATTGATATATTATTTCATTGAAAATGATTTAATATTACTTCAAGAAAAAAAAAAAAACGACGTATAAATTAATGATAGATTAAATAAATCGAAAACTTAAAAAAAAGAAACTCTTAAGCTATAAAATATTTCCATTAATCTTAGCTAAAATAACATCATGTAAATAAATAAACAGATAAATAAATAAATCAATAAATCAATAAAAGATGAATAAATCTATGCATAACCTAGAAATTTTGATTTAATTAAATTTTATAATTGAAAAATTATTCTTATAAAATGAAAATTTAAAAAAAAAATTTTTTTATTATTAATTTTATTTTACATCAAAGCATAATTTTCTAGTAGTTATATAAGAAAACGAGCTATGAAAGTTGAAAAATATTTCGAATGATGCAATTCTCACATTACATATCCAGTTGAAGAAGTTAATGTTGTTGTTATTTGTTGAGGATGATGATAATAATGATGACGATGATGATGGTGGTGGTGATGATGATAATGTCGATGATAATGTCAAATGATGATGATGATGATGATGATTGTTATTATTAGTGTTGTTGTTGTTGTTGTTTGCTTTGTGTTACACTACAACTTGTCATTATTAACTTCTATAACATCAATCAAAATGCTTTACATTTAAACAAAATGGTTTATTGATTCTCTCTTTTTTTTTTTTTTTTTTTTTTATCTCTCTTCATTTTGAATATTTAAAATCATCAAATTTCTTTTTTTTTTCCTCTTTGTGCCATTTTTTGTTTTTCTTTTCTAATAATAAACTGATTCAACAATATAACAATAATAATAATAATAGTAATAATAATAATAATAATAATAATAATAATAATAATAATAATAATAATAATAATAATAATAATAATAATAATAATAATAATAATAATAACAATAATGATAACAATAATAATAAATTGATTCAATAATATAATAATAACAATAAATTTTTAATAATAAATCGATTCAAAAATATAATAATAATAAATTTTTAATAATAAATTGATTCAATAATATATAATGACAGAAAAGAAAAGAAATGAAATCAGAAAATAATTTGAGGTAAATTCATTTTTGTTAATTTAAGTTTTTTTTTAGTAAACATAATTAAATAATTGTTAAATAGTAAAAAATGTACTTTATTAATAGTAGAAAATAAAAATGGATTATAAATATTTTTTTTTATGATATTAGGTTATCAAATATTATTGAAAATAAGATGGAATAAAATTTTTTGGAAAAAAAAAATTTGATTCAAATAAAATTTAAATTCGAAAAAAAAAGACCGAAATGAATTGTTATCTGCATTGAAGTGTAATTTAAAAAAAAAATTTTTTTTTAATATACAATTATCATTGATGATAAGAGAATCATTATTAATCATTTTATTATCACTTAAAAAGTTGTCACAATATGAATTTAAAAAAAAAAATGATTTTTTAATATAATGCCATTATTTAATAATTAATTAAATAATTAAATAGGACAAATTAAATTTGGTTTTTCATTCGTTTTCCTTTTTTACTGTAATTTATTTATTAATTTTGTTTTTTTCTATCAGATCGTTTATTTTTTAAATATTTTTCGTATCTTTTTAAATTCTTTTTTCAATTTTTTTTGACTCTACATGACAATGCTTAATTTTCATTTTCAAATTACAATAATTCCTTTAATTTTTTGTTATTTTAGATAGAAAAATGGTTGCAGTTTAAATGATATCACAATTTATCACAATGATAAAAAAAAAAAATGTGATATTTGTTTACAATTTTAAAAACTTTCAAATAGAAAACATTTTTTTATGTTCACCTTCTTCATCATTTTTCATGGATATTCCATTTCTGAAAATATAAAATTAACATTAAAAATCAATCGAATCATTTTATTTTATTTTTTTTTTCAAAATTTTTTTTGCTAAATATAATTATAAAAAATTAATTAAATTTTTAAATTCATAAATTTATAATAAAAAAAATAGGAAAAAAGAAAATAAATCAGTGATATGAAAGTGATATAAAAAATGATAAAATCTATCGAATATGAATTGTTAATATTAAAATGAAATTTTCGTCGTGTAATAATTTTAACAGAAATATTTTTTGTTTTAAAAATTTTTTAAAGCTAATGCAAAAATAATAATGTCTATTTATTTACTACATTTATCTATATTTTATGAACAATTAATTATTAATTAATTTAAAACAAATTTTAAATTCTGTTTCATTTTTTTTTATAAACAATCATTGTGACTTATTATTGATAAACAGTGAAAAAAAAAACAAAAAACAAAAATTAAATAACAAATATTATTATTGCTGATGAAAAATTTTTAAATTTTTTATTTAAACTTTTTATTTATATTTAAAATTATTAGAAGAAAAATTTTATGCAACTTTTATGGTACCACTAAATGCATTCATTTGCATGAAAAATTTGTATTTGAAAATTAATTTTTAGCTAAGATTTACTATGTTTCTTTTTTTGTATGAATTTTAAAAAAAATTTTGAAATAATTTAAAATAAAATTAATTTCAACAATTATTAATAATGCAATAATACAACAATCCGATTGCTTACTAAATTTCAAAAATTTCAAATGCCATTCATCTGCGACATTTTTCAAATGCTTCGTGCGGATAATGTGGAGGTTTTGGGCATGGTGCCTTGAAATCCATAATTCCGTCCTCATCCTAAAAGTAATTGTAAGCTAACAATTGATAAATATGATAATTATTACACGATTATCATTATTATTACCACCATCACTATTATCACTATTATCACTACTATTATTATTATTAGCACATCACTATTATTTATTGGTATTATTAATATCACTCACTATTATTATCATCATTTATTAATATCATTATTATCATATCACCAGTACTTATTATTATTAACACTCGCCATTATTCATTATTATTATCACTCATCAGTATCGTTATTATTTGTTATTATTATTATCGCATCACCATTATTTATTACTATTACTATTGTCAGACCACTATTATTTGTTAATATTATTATCATTACTATTATCACATCACTATCATTTATTACTATCATTATTATCATATCACCACTACTTATTATTATTATCACTCACCAGTATCGTTATTATTTGTTATTATTATATCACATCACTATTATTTATTGGTATTATTAATATCGCTCACTATTATCATCATTACTTATTGTTATTATCACTCACCACTATCATTATTAGCTATTATAATTATTATCATATCACCATAATTTATTATAATATTATTATCATCACTATTATTATTGCAATTATTATTTGATAATCTTGATGTAACCCTTGCAGTTTAATTATTTGCCTCAATTATTAAGTATTTTCTTCCCGCAGGTAGAATTAATTAATAAATTAATAAATTTTTTTTTCTAAAAAATTGAAATAAAAATTCAGTGAAATCAACATTAGTTGCAGAAAAAAAAAAAAAACTAAAAATTTCAATTACAAAAAAAAAAAACAAAAAAGAAGAAAAAATAATAATTAACGATTTAATTAATATTATTAATTAAAAGAAAAAAAAATTGTTTTATCAAATTTTTTCATCTTACAACTAATTAATATTGATTATTTATGATAGATTAATTAATTTGTCATTCATAATTTGCTAACAAAAAATGATTATCATTTCTTAATTACTTAATAAAAAAAATAATTTCAAAATGCGAAAAAAAATTTATGTTAAATATAAATTAAAATAAATCACTTTGACTGATAACACCTACATCTATATCAGGTTCCCATTCACCAAATGTACGATTGCAAATGTACGGTGTCACGTACGACTGATAAGAACGGACTGTCTCATTTCTACAAAGTCCAACTGATATCGAATTACTTCTGAGGTGTGCTCGTACCACAACGTATTTATTACGTTCTAAGCATGCAATATTACATGCTGAAATATCAGTATTACTGATAAGACTTGTTATCATATCTTTAAGTTGTTTTATATTTGAGTTATCACATATTTAAGTTATCATATATTTAATTTATTATAAATTTAAGTTATCATATCTCTAAGTTGTCATATATTTGAGTTATCATATATTTAGGTTATCATATAATTAAGTTATCGTATCTTTAAGTTGTCATATATTCAAGTTGTCATATATTCAAGTTGTCATATATTTAAGTTATCATATGTTTAAGTTGTCATATATTTAAGTTATCATATTTTTAAGTTATCATATATTTAAGTTGTCATATATTCAAGTTGTCATATACTTGAGTTATCATATGCTTAAGTTATATTAATTATACATGTAATAATATATTTGCTTTTATTAAATTAATGGTACAATTAATATATTACTTTTTTTTTTGCCTTTTTTCAAATATAATATCAAATTTTCTTGTGAAATTTATTTTTAAATTAATTCGAATAATAATTAATTGCTTAATAATAATTGAAATTAATCCATTAATTAAAAATTGGAATTAGAATTGTACTGATAAAACATTATAATACATTTAACTTATAATAATTGTACATATATAATATATAACATATTTAGTTATATATTTAAAAAAAAATTAAA